GGTGGGGATTTGACGATGGATCGACATCGGCATACGACTAGAGTTCAAGTGTTCGCGGGGTCGAGAGCGACTAAGATGATGTCATGGGAGGCTCTGTTGGATACGGGAAGTCCGGCATCGTTTGTACAAGAAAGGTGCGTGCAAAAGATGTTAGTATTTGGTTCGACTTCAGCTCATAGCATTGAAACAGGACTGAACAAGAAATGCGGTGGGTTCCATGGGGTGCCGTTGGTTACAGATCGAAGAATGCGATTAAATATTGAAATGTGGAAGGGTCGAAAATCAGCACCGGTTCATTTCGGTACACCGACGGTACGGACGAGTGTGTATGCGTACATCGTGCCAGACTCAGCTATGGGACATGATCTGATACTAGGGAGGGATAGTTGGGCTGATTTTCCAGTTCGCAGTTTCCAAGACGTATCGGACACAGAAACAACTGTCACTTTTGTCGGTGCAAATACTGATAAAGTGGCAGGAGATCACCGCTTTGATGAATGGGTGGGTAACGCGGTTGGTATGGTGGAAACGGAAGGTGATGGAAAGGTGGTGGTGAAATCTGAGGGTAGTAGACGATGGCTTCCAAATGCAATGTCATGGGTTGAGGTAAAATTTACCAACCTAGATGGCAGTGACGCTGCGGTGGGGACGTACCGTGTGCAATTTGGGAAAGAGTGGTTCCCGCAGGAAGCATTGGTCGAAAATGGCACGCCTGGAATTCCTCTCAAAAGAGTGGGGGATAGCTCGTGTCTGGTGAAACCAAACGATATTTTGGGGAATGGTTGTGAACCCCTGGAAGTGATAAATTTGGATGATGCTCGTTTGGTGGAAAATGAGGAATTCAAAAATGTATTTGCGGTTCAGGAGGGTGAAGAGGCTGACGTGCCTGACGACGAACCCCCCGCTGATGATATGTTTTCTTTGAATGGGGCGCAACAGGTGGCGTTCAGGCGGTTGTGGCAAAGGGGCCTCCGCACATTCGAGACGTTCATTTCGACTTCAATGCGAAGCTGTGGGAGCCGGAAGACATTGACAAACTAGGTCATTTATTGTGCAAGTTTGAGCATCGTTTTTCGAAGGGTGGTTCGTATTTAGGACGGGTGACGGTGGATCCGTTTCGAATCATTTTGAAGCCGGAGGCACAGCCAGTGCGGCAGAGGCCATATCGCTATTCACCGGTGATGAACGAAAAGGTGCAGATCGAAAATGACAAATTGCTGTTGGCGGGTGTGTTGCGGAGATCGTACAGCAATTGGGCGAGTCCGTTGGTGGTAGTCGCGAAAGCTAACGGTGGTGTGCGGTTGACGGTCAACTACAAGCGCATCAAATGATTGTATTCCCGAAATTGCCCATTCCGATAGTGGAAGATATTTTGGCGGAATTGGACAAATCGAAAATCTTCAGTGCGCTGGATTTGGTCGGTGGGTTTTTCCAGTGCAGTATTGAGGAGGACAGCATTCCGATCACTGCTGTTATCACGTCTGTTGTACGAATTTTTATCCGTGCCGCAAGGTCTCAGTAGTAGTCCTGGGTGGTTCCATTCGGTGATGGCCAGAGTATGTGACGGACTGGAACGTGTGCGTCTGTTTATCGATGACGTGATCGTTTTTTCCAGGGACGGGGCAGAACACGTGCGCGACCTGGAAAGGTTTTTCGAGCGTATGGTCAAGTTCAACCTGAAACTGGCACCCAATAAGACGAACCTGGGGGTGAAAGTGGTGACGTTTTTGGGACATCAAGCCACGGCGGAAGGGATCGGGCCGGACCCGGGAAAGGTCAGACCGCTGCGTGAAGTGCCAATGCCCACTAATGTTGGCCAGCTACGATCGTTGTTGGGCTCTTTGTCGTACTATCGCAAATTCCTGAAGAACATGTCGGCTAAATTGAAACCGATCAATGCGATGCTGATAAAGGGAGCAAAGTTTGCGTTCACGACTGATCATGTGGCGGTGGTGAGGAAGATGATGGATGTTCTGTCTGGTCCTGAGGTCTTGGCATTTCCGTGTTATGAGGGTGCGATCTCGGGAGAGCGGCCGTTTCGGTTAACCGCTGATGCGTCGATTTCGGCCTTGGGAGCCGTAATTGATTGAGCAAGAGCAACGAGATGGGATTATTAGACCGCTATGCTTTGTGAGCAGGTCAACATTCCCGATTGAAACCAGATGGAGTCCGACTGAGCTTGAAGCGGGTGTGATAGTGTTGGCGATTAAGAAGAATCGAACACTATTTTATGGCATCCCCTTTGAAGTGTACAGTGACCATCAACCCTTGCGAAATTTGGAGAGTTTGGCAGAGAAAAACAATCGCGTACAGAGGTGGTATGACTTTCTGTCAGCGTACACGTATGAACTGAAGTATCGACGAGGGCGAGAGAATGCAAATGCCGATTTGATGTCACGGTTGCCATTGCCTGCGACGAAAAAGGATGAGGCACCAGATGTTAGGCTGACTGATCCGTCTGATCTCGATGTTTATATGATAGGTGCGAGCGGGGTGCTACCTTCGCGATTGGGTCCGGTGTATACCGAGCGAGAGGCGCTCGCTGGGTCGAACCATCGCGATGATTTTGTGGTGTGGGAAAGTGGCTGCACACCGGCAAGCCTCACTTCGGATGAACTGGCAGACAAGACGGGGGCGCTGATCCAAAGGGGAAAGGGCGTGTCCAACCCTTTGCCTGATGGTGCGTGTGTGCCTGATGACACCCGGTTGGTGGAACCGAGTGGGGAAGTAGTCAGTGGTCAGTTTGAGCCAGGGCTGATATCGCATGCGGTTCCTTCAACGGAAGTTGGCAGACGCTTGTAACAGGGTTTTCGCCTGATTGAGAGCGGAGTATACGATTGAGAGCGGGAGCCAAAAAAATTGAAATTTCGGGTCCAGACGCCTCTTGCCATTTTTTGGGAAGTAGGGGGCGGGCTCTTCCAAGAAGCAGCGCGAATTGAAGGTCTCATCAGCAGCGTCACGAGCATATGCGTGTCATCGCGATCGGATGCTGCAGCTAGGAGCTAGACAAGTTGCTAGATTTCCCCAGATTGGCTATTCCTGCCTCAAACTGTTTCAGGGCGATTTGATCGCGGGCGGTGAGCTCTGCTGTAGATTCTGCTCCCCGCTGTAGCTCCACAACGAGAGACGCCCACAGGATGACCAGGGTATCGGCTTATAGCTACGGGCTAGGCCTTTAATTCAAGTTACGCAGCAAGCTCCACCTCTCAGCGGTAGTCCAGCTACAGCGTATCGCACAATCTCGCTCTCAATCAGAAACTTCGCTCTCGATCACACGAAAACCTTGTTTTGTTGGGATTGGTGGAAAAATCGCAAGTTCATGCTATTTCTCAAGGAGGGGGCAGTGACTCTGGTGGTGATGGTGGTAGTCGCAGTAACGCTCGTGGGAGTGGGACTGTTACTGATGGTGGTAGTAGCAGTAACGCTCGTGGGAGTGGGGCTGTTGCTGGTGGTGGGGGTTGCAGTAGTGCTCGTGGGAGTGGGACTGTCACTGATGGTGGTAGTAGTAGTAACGCTCGTGGGAGTGGGACTGTTACTGATGGTGGTAGTAGCAGTAACGCTCGTGGGAGTGGGGCTGTTGCTGGTGGTGGGGGTTGCAGTAGTGCTCGTGGGAGTGGGACTGTCACTGATGGTGGTAGTAGTAGTAACGCTCGTGGGAGTGGGACTGTTACTGATGGTGGTAGTAGCAGTAACGCTCGTGGGAGTGGGGCTGTTGCTGGTGGTGGGGGTTGCAGTAGTGCTCGTGGGAGTGGGACTGTCACTGATGGTGGTAGTAGTAGTAACGCTCGTGGGAGTGGGACTGTTACTGGTGGTGGGGGTGGCAGTAGTGCTCGTAGTAGCAGGGCTGTTGCGCGTGGAAGGGGTCGAGGAAGAGGGGCTGCTGGTGGTGGTAGGGGAAGGGGTTCCGGGGGCAGGGGTCCGGCAGCACCTTCGTTGCCTCAAATTTCGATGCAAGAGTATGATGAAGAACAGACGCAAGCGGCAATTGAATTTGGGGAAAATTTATGCGATAAGACGGCTAGTGATTGGGCAGATATTCAGGAGGAAGACGACACGGCGCGATTAGCAACTACGGCAATTGAGGGGCACGCTGATCCAAAGAGAACGAAGGAGGGAGATATTCCGGAAGGCTTAGCTGTCGACTTGGATGAGCTGAAGCGGTTGGTTCTCAGGGTACTTTGTTGGTGTTGCCGAATTCGAAGCAATTGTTGGTGAGGAAAGAATTAAAAGCCCCTGCGGAAAATCCAATTTAAAATCCAGGGCAATTTAAGAGATTGGTGGGTAAAGGACCAGTTCGGACGTATGTGCCTACGATGTTGAGACCGTGGGTCATGGATTGTGCCCACAAGGAAACGGAGCATTTGGGAGAGAAGGTGACTTTGGGTATTTTACAGAGGGTTTACTGGTGGAAAGGAATGGCTGAAAGCGTGCGGTGGTGGATCCGTAGGTGTTATTCTTGTCAGTTTCGGAAGGTGCGGCGGCATACGAAGTGTTGGCCGTTAGTGTCTCTGCCTCTTCCGAGTAGACCGGGGCAGATGGTGTCGTTTGATTATTTGGGGCCGTTACCGAAAACGACGAAAGACAACGAGTACGTGTTTCCGGTGGTAGATTTATTCAGCAGGCATGCCGAGGGCTACCCACTAACGAAGGCGCAAAAAAATGCGAAGGGTATTGTGTCTATCATGGTGAACGATTATAGCGCGAGATGGGGTTGTCCGCACACCATGTTGTCAGATAGGGGAGCAGAGTTTGCGAATGAGGTAGCGAAAGGGGTGTTTAAGCTGCTGGGAACTGTGAAGAAGTTTACTAGCTCATATCATCCGCAGACGAATGGGATGGTGGAACGTTTAAATCATACGCTGTGTCAAATGTTGTCACACTTGATTGCGGACGATCAGGCGAATTGGGATGAAATGTTGCCACACGCGGCAGCGGCACACAACAACAACGTGAGCCGACGGACGGGGCTAGCACCCAACGTAGTACACATCGGAAGGTACCCGAGGTTGCCGATGACGATCTTGGAGGGAAGGGGTGTTTCGGGAAATCAGGGCCTAAAGCAAGACCAATTGGATTATTTGAATGTGATGAGGGATAAGCAAGGGAAGGCGTACGAGTTGGTAAGAGAGCAGGATAAGATAACCAAGGCTAAGCATGAGAAGAGCAATCAGGTGTTGAACTCGATAATAGTCAAGAGGCCGAAGTACAAGGAGGGGGACTGGGTCTTGGTGTATGATGAGAAGAGTACAATTTCTGGTGGGGGGGAACACGTGCTTGAATCGCGAGTGAATAGTAGGGGGAAAGAAAAATCGTTCGCGTTGATCCCGAAATTGGCACATAATTGGACCGGGCCGTTGTTGTTGTTGTTGTTGTTGTTGTTGTTGTTGTTGACTTCACATTAAACCGTATGCCAGTTGCTAAATGCCAAAATCTAGCAAAGACTCTCAGCCCGTGGTCACGAAAGTGCTAGAGCCATCTGAGGATCTAAAGAACACGCCGTAGAAGGTGTTGATCGTGGGTCCAGGGGATGGTCTTGACGGAGAAAAGGTGGGTCCGAATATTTTATATTTGGACGTGAATAAGGATGAGCCCGTAAAGAACATGGTGTCGGTATATCGGTGTAAGAAGTGCAATACTCAGCACGAGAACGAGGATAGACCTAGGTTCTTGCCGTGGGGCTTTGTGTTGAATATGTTTTCAGAATTGGCGCCTCCGTTCCATCTTACGGCAGAGGACGCGGAGGAAGAAGTGGATAGTAAAGAATAGGTCCCGTGTAAAATATCAATGCACAGGATTTGTCGAGGTGTAAGTGGGAAGGGGGCGGTTCAGTACTACGCGCATTGGACGGGGTTGGCTAGGTGTACGTGGGAGCATGAAGTAGAGCTAGAGCAATATGGGGACGTGGTACTTAAATATTGGAATTAGCAGCCGGAACAATCGGCCGGAGGGAACATTAGGTATCGGAGGTACCGTATTCAGGATGCGAAAAGGACGATTGCTAGCAGGAAGGGAGAACGACACGTGCAGAAAGATACAAACTTTGTTGTGACATACGGAGTAGGCCGAGTCTTCGAAGTAAGGCGATGATTGGTGCCTATCTATATTTTTAGACTGTGAAGGCTGGGTGGCAGTTTGCTAAGAACAAGATATTGGTGAAATTCAGAGTGAAGTTATGAGATTCAGAGTGAGGCTAAGTGGAATCAAAACTTACATTAGAGCGCGTTTCGAATTATATGGGTTATGAAACATTTCCCTCCGGTAAACAAGCATGTTTGGAGGACCCAGGTTTGGTGCGTTAGGGTTTGAGGAGGAAAATTGTCCCCCGGAAAACGAGGTGGGAACCGCTCTCGGTCTCTCAAGCAAGATAGTTCTCCGTACGATCGATCGTGAGATGGACGGGAGACCACTTGATTGGTTGTTGATTCCTTTGTAACTCTCACTACTCCTGCTGTAGGCATGTTATCGAATGATATGAGGATTTAGTGTTGGTGGTCTGTTCTTCTTGTTATTACCCTGTAGTGTTGTCGATGTTGTTGTCTTCCCGGTACGGACCCTATACACTCGCTGTACTTGTTGTCCTCGACAAAACACGAAAGTAAATTACTTTTAAAATACGAAAGAATATAAACCAGGACGACGCTAAGTCAACCACTCAAACTACTTAAAAAAACGACGCGAAAGGATCCTCTGGCTGCTTCCAAGCAGTAGTAGCGTAACGTAGACCTAAACACTCGCGACAGGCTGCTCCTCCTCCTCCTCCTCCTCCTCCTCCTCCTCAGCCTCCCCGTCCTCCTCCTCCTCACTGGTAGAAGAGCGAAGAAACCTCCTCTCCCTTTTTCCCCGACGTCTCGAGCCTGTGGCGCCTCCTTCTTGGTCACCACCATCTGCATGGTTGTGAGTGGGAAGCGGGTACCAACCCAACAACTCTTCCCCCTTTTTTACTGCGCGTGCGAGTTTGAATGAAATACCGTTGCTAGGATCTGCCAACAATTCCTTTGCTTCGTCTGCACTGCTGGGCGGTTGCTTGTGGAGCTTGCTGCTCTCTCTCTCGATGTTCGCAGCCTCTTGACGCGGAAAACTTGAGTTCACATAGAACATGAACGATTCACGCGTTGGCCTCAGCCACAACTTAGACCCTTCCTTCACAACTTCGTCGTCATCCAACAGTGCGTTTCATGCATCGGGCTCAAGCACCGGGTACCGGGGATCCCCGTCCTCGTCGATCGCTGCCATCATCTCGTCGACCGTGTAGCCTCGTACGCTCCCATGACGGTCATGGAAACGTTGTCGCCCTTGTCCTTATCCTCTGTCGCGAAGAGACCCCAACCATAAGATGATGCGTGGCGAAAGGAAAGGCGCAAACAACAAAAATTAAATGACGTGTCCACAAGAACAACATACTGCTCGATGTCCAACACAAGGAAATATGCGATATTTGGGCAGGCAGCAGTTCCGGAGCGAATTTTATGTCTATCTTGGGAAGTTCCTGAAAGTACCCTAACTACCGTGGGCGCATTCGGTACATTAGGTACCTTAATCGCAAAGCCAATCTCCTCCGCGAGTGATCCAGCAGCTGAGAGGGCAGCTTCGACATCGTCATCCTCGTCTTCTGAGTTGTACACCTCGTGAGCGTTGATATACATCCGGTTGGTCTCCTCGGAAAGGTTGTGAGACGGAACACACGCGGGTAGGGTCGTAGCGAACACACGGACTTTCGCCTTATTCAGATCGGCAAACCACCCGCGCTTGGTCGCTGCAACACATGCCTCATCCACCTCGGTGTCGGCATGTGTCGCCTTCGCCGGGTCTACAACTAACGCTGAGAGCAGTCTCCCCTGCCAGAGCACGAACGGCGCGATAAGATTCTCCTCAAAGGTCGTCACCACAACAGAGTCCCCGGGCACGGTAAATCTGTCAAACGAAAAAATCGACGGCGGCAGTGTGTGGAAACGGCTTTGGCGAAAGCATACTCTGGCTGAGACAAACGTGCTGAAGGAAATCGGGTGCCACGCGTGAAAGTCCGACGGTGGTATCATCATTCCTTGTCAACTGATCGGTTAGCGTACAAGCCGAACGTGACATTGCCGTAACACAGGCTACTGTATTTCACAGAAAGCGACATTAACTGCCCCACCTGTTGATGAGGTGGTCGGCCATCGAGTGCGACAGGTATGTAGCTGTGGTGGGGTGCTTGGCGGAGACGACGAAGCTGGCCTGCTCGAAAGCTGCCTGGCGAGGACTCTTGAAAGAAGACGGTGATGCAGCTCCAGCGCGACGGTTGCCAGCGGGATGCCCGTAGCAGGCAAAGTCCTGGCCCTTGTGAGCGACGAGTGAGTACAGAAGAACCCTGCCGGGAGTAGTGGTTCTTCTGACTCTCAGGAATACGCCCAGGTTGCCCCTCGAGGTAGACAGAAATGACGGGATTCTTCTCGAGAGAAAGGTCGGCGTGCTTGAGTTGATCTGTTAGGAAGAATCGCGACCAAGTATAACTCGTCACACGCCTTGGTTACAGAACCTATGGACGCACGTCAACTGAAATGAGGCCTATAACCACTCTTAATGACCATCATGTGGACAAAGACACTGGGTAAAAACACAACAACACCACACCAACACCACTCACTACCGCCAACAACAACGGATGACGGGTGGTGGTTAGTCAATTCAAATATTCTGGAATGCCCAACAACGGACTCTAACTTACCCTCCACGATGGCGAAGTTCCGATGGTATACCGGCCCCATAGCAATCACCATCGTGCCCCTCGGGTGGAGGACGGATTGAAGGGCTACTAAACCGTTACGTAGACGCTTGGTTGCGTCATCGGTGCCCTTCAGGAGATCGGGATCAGCTCCGATGTTGACAAAAATCAGCATCGCAGACTCGGTCTCTGCCTTCAAAGGATCACTGTCTGGGTCCCAGCTGGCGCCGAAGATGTCGACAGTCTGAACCAAAGAAACCTCTTTCCTATAAAACAAGTAGCGCAAAGGTGTCAAAACGGGAGAAATGGCTTAGCGGACAAATATATACTACGCCTCCAAACGCTGTTGGGACTAGTTTTGTTTTGAAGAGGATTGGCCCGGTAGGGGCGATAATTGGTTTTCGAAAAAAAACTGTTTGAAGGGATTGTGCGCACACATGTAATGTGCGCGAAAAAAGAAGGGAAAAATCACACTCGGGAGGGGGAAACGGACTCGTAACTGTTACGAGGCACGTCAGACGTCACCCGGAGCCGGACAAGGGGGGAAGGAGTAACACGCCACAGCGAGAGCTCACGGAAGCAGGATGTGACCTATGCTACTACTGCTACTGTCGCTAGCTATCGGCGGACTACGCGAGAGAAGACAATACATACTTTTCCGCACGTTGTGACAAAAATTAACAAATCCAACACGACGTATGTGTCATCGATACCATCACGAGAGGTTTTACCCAGAACAGTACGGTACTGACCCCACAAGCAACCCGTACAAGGCTCAAGCAAGCAGTTTGGCAAAACTTGGGCAAGAAAAGAATCCTGCCGAAAGTTGGTCCATCGTTCGTTCTTGGCTGCTCTATCGCTGAGGACGTTAGCGGAGGGTGCTCTCTTCCTCTTTACTGTGGTTGGGGGAAAGCGTACGTACGTGGAAGGGATGGAGAAAATATTGGTGGAATAGCTATGTACTTTGACACATGATGAGCAACTGGCTGGACTAGAATGGCTAAGGAACTATGTGAACATTGGCAAGTAATTAAAGTTGGGCCAGTCGGACCAAATGCTTCAATGACGGGGGTGGTACTACAAACCATAGAACAATCCCCCTTGTACAGCTCCGTACACCGTTACACGATGGTGATGCTTACCTGTTGTGATCTTCCCGGCGTGAGAGCCGGTTGACTCGTTCGTAGCGGGCTTGGCACCTGCAGATGTCGCAGTCGTAGGTCCTGCCGCGGAAGACGAAGACGAGGCACCTGCGGCTGATGGCGCTGCTGCGGCTGTTGCTGTAGGTGACATGGCAGCTGCTGCCGTGGAAGCAACCCCCGCCAGATTCTCTGCCGTCTTCTTGGCCTCCTCGGCGGCCGCCCCTGCCTCTTCGGCAGCTGTCCCTGCTGCCACGGCTACCCTCTTGGTCGTGTCTGTCTTCGCCTCTTCCATGAACTTGACCTTGTCGGAGACGGTCTTCGCCTCACTCGCCTGTCATGCTTCGTCGAACTTAGTCCACCATTTGCGCATGTCGGCGTCACGTTCCAATGCCTGACAGTTTAGGGCGGATGGAGGTGGGGAAAAGGCACATGTATGTGAGGATACCGTGCGCGCTTACCATCTCGGATCCCGGCCATAAGGGAGGTCCATCACAAAAAAACAGTACAACGTTGGTGGCCGTTGTTGAAACCTTAGATAACAAAGCTATAGTTAAACCTAAATGTTACAGGTTGGCCTGATCGAGGGCCGGCCATGCTTTACCTACCTGGCAGGTCTGGGTGTGTGGTTTGGAGAGGAGTACAGCCTTGTGGTCTTCAGAAGGCGTCATGCCTGTCGGCAGCCCTTTCACGTAGGCGTCCGCCTTCTTCCTCAACGTCTTTCGATGCATGTCGAACTTGGCGTGCGGGTCCTTCACGAGGTATTTCCTCATGAGGCTGCGAACACCAACAATAAAGAGGGTTTTGATGGGAACGTCAGCAGCATGACAAGAACAATAGCAGTAGTGTCTTGCCAATTGTAGAATGGGTATGTATGGGTCTCGTAAGGACGGAGCATGCATGTGCATCATCAGACCAAAGATACATTATCCATGCCCGACCCGGGCGGCATCCCAACTTTGCAAGGAGGGACAAACACGAACATACACTGTGACGGTAATGACAAGAAGTGTAGAGCCCAGAAAACGCCGCGCATGATGGCATGCACCAGCCTGTGAACCTACTACCTAATAGCAAGTTTTTCGTTTAATACTCAAAAGTATGAAGGCAGCATTTCACCTGAAGCCGTTGGCACAAAATCTGGGTTGGAAGGCTTAACCTACAACGCCCACCGAACACACACACCACTGCTACACACCAGCATGGATATGACGATTTATGTATTCAGTACTCACCTCCATTTCCGGTCCTCTACTTGACGCCACTCTTCAGCAATAATACAAGACATCTATAAGCGGGCTCATTTTTGGATTTCGAGTACGGGGATGGACTAACCTATGAAGGCACGCTTTAGGGATAAAAATAAGAACGAACAACAATGTGGATGCGTCCCTTCCCCCCTCGCCCCCCCTCAAGACAAGTGGCTCACTTCTTGAAACCTGCAGTCCACTCCTCACGCGGGACGATCTTATCGATTTTTGCCATTTCCTGGGCGACGGAGTACGAGATGTCGTCGAGTAGCTTCAACTCCTCCTCGCTGTAAAGTTGGTTAGGACATAGTCCCCTTGCGAAAGTTGAAACGACAAGCAAGCGTAAAAAATATAAACACAAGCAGCGCAGAGAGCAATCGCAAGGAGTGAGAGGTTGGTCTGCATGGGGCCAACCTTAATTGAAGAATATTCCAATCGATCCAAACCCCATGCGCATAAATCACGATGTTGCGCTTCGGCTAGCACGCGTGGGCTGCACGTTGTAACAATGCGCCCAAGTATACCTACGGTTTACAGCAACAGCAGCAACGACCTGCAAGTAAGCTACAGCGCTTATTACTGTCGGGGGCATCAGTAGTTATGGGCTAGCTAACAGGCGTAAGTCTGTAGCGTCTCTCTATCTCTGCCTCAACTCTTAAAGGTTGCAAATGTTCCCTCTGATTCAGATAAAGAGAGATAGGCGTATTGTTTACATGCAAGTGTTGGAACTCCCTCCGTCTAGGCTCTGGTCACAGAATATTACCCTGACCGACACTGAAACAAGTTAGTACACGGTAGTATGCAGAACAAAATAGAACTCGCACTTTCTTGGCAATGCGATACACGTAGACCTCCTGCTCGTGCCCATTCATCTTGTGGAAGACGTCCCTGGCGACCAAATTGAGCTTGATTCGTTTGTGATCGAACGTCGAGTGGTCCGCATGCTTCGGGTCGCGGCCGTCAAGGTATGTCACGTCCTTCATCGCCTCAAGTCCAAGAGTAGTGAAGTTGTTGCCGATCTTGATGTACTTCGAAACAGTCGCCTTCGCCGGAGCGTGGAGTTCTTGCTGCAAATTCCGATACAGTAGCGGCTACGGTTTAAGAAAGGGGGGCGACCAACCCTTAACTTTCTCTTTAATCGGGCTTTCTCGAATACGGTCTTGGCCACGGTTTAAGAAAACATTTATTCTCCAACAACACCGTGTTGGCTACGGTTTAAGATAATAGTATTCTCTTGAACCGTGAACATGGTTCAAGAGAAAAACAATTATCTTGAACCGTAGCATTTTGAAGGCCATGGAAGATGGACGATATCCTTTCAACCAGCTAAAAGAGCTTGTGGACGGCATACCACTCATCATCATGTGACATCACGTCGCCAGCTTGTCCAGCTCCACACATGCTCGATGTGTGTTGGCAAGCAGCAATGCACCCACCGCACGTACCGGGTACACTTTTGATGATACTTGTGTGTTGAAACTAATCATGGTCGTGTCGTGTGACACTTTTTTCCCTCGTTGATAGACAAACGCGTTCGTTCGCTGGACGTATGTATAGTATGAAATTTGTGGGTGATTAGTTACAAGCTACTGCATGCATTCAAGCGGTAAACACATACAGCATTCATTCCTGGCAAAATTGAAAGCGATAACCTCTTTAGTAAATATTTCTGACTTCATTGTTGACGAGGGTGGGGAGTGCTGAACCCTGCTCGCGAAAAAACCTCACAGGCAGGCATCGCAGGAGGGGGTCCAGCCCCCCCCTCCTGGTTGACCCCGGTTTGGTCGTCTAGCTAGTAGAAGCGGGGGATGGGGGCTATTCGATAAAATTAGACCATCTGACCAGTCAACGTTGACTACGTGCACAGTCATCGATGACTGGTCAGATGGTCTAATTTTATCGAATAAAAGATATGCTCAGAGCTCGTTTGCACCCGGCTGGAACACTTGGGGTTGGCTTTTCGGCTTTCATCACTGGGATTGAGAGTAGGGATCTCCGGGGACGGACCCCTCGCCAGACGTCGCTGTTTTACAATGGTGACATAATTTTATGCGAAGAAAGTGTTCCAGCCGGTATTCGAACTNAATAAAGGATACCCGCACGAGTTCGAATACCGGCTGGAACACTTTCTTCGCATAAAATTATGTCACCATTGTAAAACAGCGACGTCTGGCGAGGGGTCCGTCCCCGGAGATCCCTACTCTCAATCCCAGTGATGAAAGCCGAAAAGCCAACCCCAAGTGTTCCAGCCGGGTGCAAACGAGCTCTGAGCATATCTTTTATTCGATAAAATTAGACCATCTGACTAGTCATCGATGACTCTGCTCGTAGTCAAATGGTCAGCCTTTATCCAATAGGGGCCAGAGGGGCAGACCACAGAAGAATCCAATGTTGTTGTTGTTGTTGTTGTTGTTGTTGTTGTTGTTGTTGTTGTTGTCTTCACATTAAACCGTACGTCAGTTGCCAAATGCCAAANCAAACGAGCTCTGAGCATATCTTTTATTCGATAAAATTAGACCATCTGACTAGTCATCGATGACTCTGCTCGTAGTCAAATGGTCAGCCTTTATCCAATAGGGGCCAGAGGGGCAGACCACAGAAGAATCCAATGTTGTTGTTGTTGTTGTTGTTGTTGTTGTTGTTGTTGTTGTTGTTGTTTTCACATTAAACCGTACGTCAGTTGCCAAATGCCAAAATCTAGCAAAAGACTCTCAGCCCGTCGTCACGAAAGTGCTAGAGCCATCTGAGGATCTAAAGAACACGCACACATATAACGAGAAAAAGGTATCCAAGAGCCCGAAGAGGTACACCTAAAAA